AGGATAAAGACCCTTCAACAATAATGCTGTTATCAATGGGGGTCCTGCTAAAAATAACATAAAGAAACTAAATGTTAAAAAAACTAAAAATAAAAAATAGCCCTCTAAAATAATAAAAATATAAATTAGATCATATATAATAAATTCAATTATAGTGTTCATCTAAAAGTTTTTTAAAATCTTTAAAATCCTTAAAATTTTTTGTCCTTCTTATATCCATAGGAAGTTCATTGCATATTCTGTCTTAAGAGTTGTAAGTTTAATGTGTAGCCGATGCATTTGGAATTCCACAAGGATTTTGAAACCCCAATAGAATACAGTGACGAGTATTTGACACAACATCTTTTACTCTTTTTGTTATGTTTGTTTTTATTTCAAAGTTCTAGTACTTTGAAATATTTCAAAGTCCGAGTAGTAGGACTTTGAAATTGCTTACTATCAATCACGTGACTTTTTGGAGTTGACTGGGGGGCAAACAAGCGGTTGACTGGGGGACAACTAGCAGATGCTAAGTCAAAACATATCAAAATAAGTCCTCAATCTTAATTGTATTTGACTATTTTCACGACATCAAACCAGAAAAGAAGAGATCAAAACAACCTCCAGGATTCTACAAGCCATCAAAAAAGAGCTATTACCGGAAGTGAGAGTATGTAGTATGTATGTAGGTCGTGGGTTCGAATCCCAGCGAGGTCGGAAATTAATTTTTCCGAATTTAATTCCAAGGGCTTTCGCCCGGAATAACCTCGTTCCCAAGCACTACAACTTACCTATATTATCTTCTACTATTACCGGAAGTGACGTCTATTGATAGCAACCTATATTTCAAAGTACTAGAACTTTGAATTGGGTGCGGTCATATTTGATGGGGGTTTCAAGCTACTGCATGTGGTACGAAAAAGAAACTCTGGTTGGTTGATGAGCTCATGAATAATTAATGAGTATAAGATATATATTTATATATTTATAGATAAAGAATGTAGCGGCAGTGGGTGTGGAGGGAACCTAATGGAAGAGCCCTGTTTGGGTAGTGGTGGTTGTAAAATATAAGGTTTCTTTAGTTTTAAAGTGACACCTAGTCTTGTCCAGGTGTGCGTGTTGTGCATGTTCAATTTATCCAACATGGTGGATGTAAAAACCTCGATAGCTGTTATTACAGTTGAGCCTGCAATGATAAATTCTTTTGTCTTAAGATTCATACAAGTGAGGCTATAGGGCCGATACAATGCTTGTTGACTCCATATAACTGCTTTATTAAGTTGCAGGGAGCTCATGTTTTCATGATAGAGTTGAGAAGGGCGTAATTATTCGGGACATAATATGAGGGCGGTTATTGCTTGCCTACAACATGAAATTGGGGTTAAAGGGAATTTTCATCTTGATTCTGAGGGGGGGGGATTTTAATTATTTTATTTTAACCGTACTTGCAAAGATATTCCACCTTGTCAGCCATCAAGCATGATTCGATTTGAAGGTAAAAAACGTAATCAATTATTGTTTTTTTAATTCTGTAATTTATAGTGCTTGACGTTTCATAGACCAAGGCTTCTCAGCCTTCTGATGAAAAATCGAAGGCGCCTTCCATTTTTTGGTAAGAAGGGTCTGGGTACGAGAATTTCTGGTCAGAAACTCAAATAAGCTCAAGGTATTTTTATAAACTTCATGAAGCTTTTTTGCCTATTTAAGATTGATATTTTCGTGGATGTTAAAAAAATGCGTCCTTTTAAATAAAACCTGCTCGATTCATTGTACACTATTTGAACTGTAAGCCCTAACCACCCCTCCCCTCCACAATTTTCAAAAGCACGTGTTTACTTGGGCCAGTACAGTGACATTGTTATATAAGTTCCATGTATATATAGTGTGTCTGCTCCGATTATAGTTTTCGTTTTTCCTCTCTTTATAAACTTTATTCTTTTGCTAAGAGTATTATAAAATGCCTCGTCCGAAAGTGTTTTTCGATATGATTGTGGGAACCGCCAAAGCTGGTCGCATTGTAATGGAGGTACGTAAGTTGATTAAAATCGATATTTTGATACCCTGCGAAAGGACCTCTGGGCCCGGTTGTACGAAGCCTGGATAACGCTATTCAATGCATAAATCTTATCCAGTGGATCAATTTATTGAATAAGGATTCATCCGTCGGATAGCGCTATCCAGGCTTCGTACAACCGGGCCCTGCTCTCAGGGTGTTATTTTGAATCATTCTCAAAATCTTTAGTTTGAAGTTTTGGCTTGGGATTTTTACTGTTTTTGATAGTTATTGCGCCATTGTTTCATGCTGTTTTTCTTACTATATTCTTTTGGTTTTAGTTAAGAAAAGATATCGTACCAAAGACTGCAGGTATCAAAGTACAAAGATTTTTCAGTATATAGTAATGACATTTTWTCCCTTCCACCTCCCCCCTACGAAAATTAATGCTTACCTATTTTAGGCAACACCTTCATTCCCTTGAGAAATAAGATTCTTTGTTTGGGGTGTATCCATATTTATTATCAAGAATTGGTAGTAAACAAAGGAATAATACTGAAGGGATGACACCAAAGGTAGATTTAGGTTAGTGTCGTCTGTAACCCCCTTTCCATTGACAGATCATGTATGAGATCTATATATGTTATTTAATTCATAGAAAACTTCCGTGCCTTGTGTACTGGAGAGAAGGGCTTTGGTTACAAGGGATCCTCATTTCATCGTGTCATTCCAGGCTTCATGTGTCAGGTACGTAAGATAAAAGTGTAAGAAATATAAGGATAATGGTCATTAAGTTAAAGGGGAACGGTGCATGTGTGAGAGTAAAAACAGGTGGGGAATGTCAAGTTGGACACCCTTTTCCTYATATTATTGTCTCAGTATTATTTTTAATCAATTTTTTGTTGCAGATTAATCCAATTAAAAAATAACTTTACTTTGTGACCAGTCCAAAAGTGATATGGAGTTGTTATGACAATGATTTAGCTCATTAGGGATACTGTTATCTCACTTGAAATAAAACAAACTGTGGGAGATACTCACTTTGTTCATGTACGCATGGTAGGGGCGATGGGTGGTTAGCTTTTAAAACAGCCTCTAAAAGATACATATATAATTTTATCATAGAGTTAGGATAGTACATGCATGCTAATTGGTCATAAACTTGCTTTATTAGTAAACAGAGGACAGTGCCGATGCCATCTTCTCGCGCAAAGTGCTGTTAGGCCTAGGGCAAACGTCAAACTTTCCATGCACTGAACTCATTAAAAACAATGGATATCAGGTGATAATGAGGTGGCATTCTTTGATGTAATTAAGTTCGGTGCATGGAAAGTTTGACGTTTGCCCTAGGCTTTAAATCCTGCAAATGTCTTTAGTTTTGTTTAAATAAATTGAATGCCAAAAAAATTAGTAACTATTATAATAAAATGAATAAAACAGCTTTTTCTGTGCTCCATTCAGTAATAAAGCACTTAGGAAGTGCAGTAAGCACTCAAGAAGTGTGAGAAGCACTCGCCTACAGCTCATGTTTCTCCTTGCACTTCTTTCGTGCTTACCTCACTTCCGGAATGCTTTATTACTGAATGGAGCACAGAAAAAGCTGTTTTATTTGTTAAATAAGAGCTGTTGAATCCACCTAAAAGATACAACCATTCGATTGATTTGTTGTGTTATTTTGAACAGTGACTGGACAACATTTTTCTTCTGATTTTACATGTTTGCTCAAAAAATAAATAACAATTGACCCTAAAAGTCACAGAGTCATGTTACCTAACTTACTTTTGTGCTGGAACCCCTAAATGTTTTACGCAGGAAATATTTTCAATCCTAAGGTCCACCAATTATCCTTTCCACTGGGACAAAGGTAGTTACCCCCCCTCCTACCTATCCCCTGTTTCTTCCTAGGATTATTCCCCCCTCCCCCCGACCTGTCCCCTGTTTCTTCCCAGGGTTATTCCTCTCCACCCTGACCTGTCCCCTGTTTCTTCCCAGGATTATTCCTCCCCCCCCC